GCCCCAATAACGAGGATTTTCACCCCATAAATGACAATTTTTACTCCTCAGAGAATTTCTGCCCCTGGGGATGGAATTCCACCCCCAAAATTCCAACCTCCACCTCTGAAATTCACATTTCTGCCCCAAAAGTAACAATTTCCCCCCAGAACTCCAACTTCCACCCCAAAAATTTGAATTTTGGCCCCATAAATGAAAATTTCTGTCCCTTGGGAGGATTTGCACCCTTAACTTACACTTTACACCCCTGAATTCCAATTTTTCCCCCTTAAATTCAAATGTCTGCCCCAAAACTGACAATTCCTCCCCAAAATTCCAATTTCTGCCCTCAAACTGACAATTCCTGCCCAAAGTTCCAATTTCTGCCCCAAAACTGACAATTCCTCCCCAAAATTCCAATTTCTGCCCTAAAACTGACAATTCCTCCCCAAAATTCCAATTTCTGCCCCAAAACTGACAATTCCTCCCCAAAATTCCAATTTCTGCCCCAAAACTGACAAATCCTCCCCAAAATTCCAATTTCTGCCCCAAAACTGACAAATCCTCCCCAAAAATTCCAATTTCCACCCCTTAAAGGAGCGTTTTCCGCCCTAAACTCCAATTTTTGCCCCAGATTTCCAATTTTCACCCCAAATCTCCACCTCCCCCCCCAAACCCCACCACCACCGCCGCCACCGCACCGCCGTAATTTGCTTTTTCTTCCCCTTTTTTCTCCGTTTTTTCCGCCGTTTTCCCCCCCGAGGCCTCACGGAAGCCATAAGCGGGGCGGGGCGGGTTTTTGGGGTGGATTTGGGGGTTTTTGGGGTCAGGGCAGGGGGGGCCCGTTGACGCCGGGGTGGTAGAAGGCACAGTTGTTCTCGTACCTGCAGCTGCCCTTGAGCATGAAGTGGCGGCACACGGCGCGGCTCGACATGTCTGGGGGAGACAAAAGGGGGGGGGCGCGTCAGGCGCCGGCCCCCGGCCCCAAAACGGCCCAAAACGGCCCCAAAAACGGCCCCAAAAGCGGCCCGGAGCCGCCCCGGCACCGGCGGCTCCGCAGGGGACAGGGGAGGAAAGGGTTAAAAAGGTCAGGGGTAGAGAACGACCCCAAAATCCACAGAAACGGCCCCAAAATCCACAGAAAACGGCCCCAAAATTGTCCAAAATGGCTCAAAAATGGCCCCAAAATGGCTCCGGCACGGCCTCAAAATGGCGGCCGGGTGAGGGCGGTGGGGACGTGATTTTGGGGGGTTTTGGGAGGATTTTGGGAGGTTTGAGGAGAGTTTTGGGGGTTAAAAGGGAAGGGGGTGAACCCCTGAGCCCAAAATGTTCCCAAGTGGCCCCAAAAAGGCCCAAAATGGCCCCAAAAAGGCCCAAAATGGCTCCAGGATGGCCTCAAAATGGCGGCGGGTCTGTGAGGGAGAGGAGGATGGCGACACGAATTTTGGGGGGTTTAAAGGAGATTTTGGGGTTGAAGTAGGAGGGGGATAAACCCCTGACCCCAAATGGTCCCAAAATTGCCCAAAATGGCCCCAAAATTCACCAGAAATGGCCCCAGAATGGCCCCAAAGCAGGCCTCAAGATGGCGGCTCCGTGAGGAGGATGGGGGACACGATTTTGGGGGGTTTTGGGGAGTTTTAAGGAGATTTTGGGGATTTAAGGAGGATCTTGGAGGGTGGAGGTGAAGGGGGTGAACCCCTGACCCCAAAAAGGCCCCAAAATTGCCAAAAAATGGCCCAAAAATGGTGCCAGGGCAGGCCCAACATGGCGGCTGTGGGAGGAAGGGGTTAAAAAGGGCATCAAAAGAGAATTTTGGGGGTTTTAAAGAGAATTTTGGGGGGTTTCAGGAGGATCTGGGGGGCTTAAAGAGAAGGGGGTGAACCCCTGACCCCAAAATAACCAAAAAACAGCCCCAAAATGGACCCAGAGCAGCCTCACAGCCGGGAAGAGGATGGAGACAGAATTTTGGGGGGCTCAAGACGGAATTTGGGGTTTTTAAAGCGGATTTTGGGGTTTCCAAGGAGGATTTTGGGTTTCTAAGAGAATTTCGAGGGGTTTTTTTAAAGGATTTTGGGGTTTTTAAGGAGGATTTGGGTTTTTTTAAGGAGGATTTTACAGGGTTAGAGGGGAGGGGGTTGAACCCCCAGCCCCAAAACGCTCCTGGGTCGAGTCCGGAGTGGCCGCGGGAGGACAAAACGGGGTCAAAAACGGGGATTTTGGGGCTGGGGGCAGCAGGGTCCCTGTCCCCACAACTGGGAGGGGCTGGGTGGATTTTGGGTGGAGGGGACCCCAAGCCCAAAACTACAACTCCCAGCATCCTCTGTGCCACCACGGCATGAACTACAGCTCCCAGCATGCCTTGCTGTCAAATCAGAGCCAGGCTTAGGCCCCACCAGCCACCTCAGGGCCCTCGAGAGTCGAACTACAACTCCCAGCATCCTTTGCTGGCTCGATGGAAAATGAACTACAGCTCCCAGCATCCTCTGCTGGCTCGATAGGAAATGAACTACAGCTCCCAGCATCCTTTGCTGGCTCAATGGGAAATGAACTACAACTCCCAGCATCCTTTGCTGGCTCGATGGAAAATGAACTACAGCTCCCAGCGAGCCTTGCTCTCCAGTTAAAAACCGGAGGTTTAGGCCCCCTTAGGCCTTCAGTGGCCTGGGAGCTGAACTACAACTCCCATCATGCCTTGCTGCCCACAACTGTGGAACTACAGCTCCCAGCAGCCCTTGCGGTTGTGTTAGCGCCGGGTTTAGGCCCCACCGTTAAGGCCTGCAGCACGCCTGGGGCTGAACTACAACTCCCAGCATGCTTCGGTGCCCCCCAGAAGCTGAACTACAGTTCCCAGAATCCCCCGCAGCACAGCCACACCCCCACCAGGCCTCAGTGGCCTCCAGTGAGGAGCTGCTCCCGACTCCCACCACCCCCCACAGCACCCAAACTACAACTCCCAGCATCCCCTGTGCCCACAAGTCCAGAACTACAACTCCCAGCGGCCTTTGCAGCCGTTTTGCCACACCCATCTCCCTTCCCAGCATGCCTCGCGGCCGCTTTGCAGGCACCAAACTACAACTCCCAGCATGCCCTGCTCACCACCGGCCACCATACTACAACTCCCAGCATGCCCCGCGGCCCCTCCCACCACAGCCGCCATCAGGGGCAGGGTCCCTCCCCATTTTTGGGGGGTCCCTCCCCATTTTAAGGGCTCTTTCAGCCATTTTGGGGCAGGGGGTCTTTCAGCCATTTTGGGGAGGGGTCCCTCACTGCCCTGGAGCCATTTTGGGGTGGGGGGGGATTTTCCCCATTTCCGGGGGCAACTCCAGAACTCCTCACTGCCATTTTTGGGGAGGGGTCCCTCACCGCCATCACCCCCGTTTTGGGGAGGGGTCCCTCGCTGCCCTGGAGCCATTTTGGGGCGGGGGCGGGGAGGGTTTTCCCCACTGCTGAGGGGAACTCCAGAACTCCTCCCTGCCCTTTTTGGGGGGGGTCCCTCACCGCCACCACCCCCAGTTTAGGGGTGGGGGGGGTCTCATTCTGCCTTCAGGCACATTTTGGGAGGTCTCATCCCCATTTTAGGGGGGTCTCATCCCCATTTGGGGTCCCTCAGCCCCATTTTGGGGGGTCCCTCACCACCATCACCCCCATTTTGGGGTGGGTCCCTCTCAGCCCGATTTTTGGGGGTCTCAGCCCCATTTTGGGGTGGGTCCCTCTCAGCCCCATTTCGGGGGGGGTCTCAGCCCCATTTTGGGGTGGGTCCCTGTCAGTCCCATTTTGGGGGGTCTCAGCCCCATTTTGGGGTGGGTCCCTCTCAGCCCCATTTTGGGGGGGGTCTCAGCCCAATTTCGGGGGGGTCTCAGCCCCATTTTGGGGTGGGTCCCTCTCAGCCCCAATTTGGGGGGGGTCTCACCCCCAATTTCGGGGGGGGGGTCCCTCACCCCCATTTCAGGGGGGGTCCCTCACCCCCATTTCGGGGGGGGTCTCACCCCCATTTCGGGGGGGGGTCCCTCACCCCATTTCGGGGGGGGTCTCCCCCAGCCCCTCCCCCGCTCAGAGCCCCATGGGGGGTCTGCGCCAGTCGTGGCCCCTCCCCCAGGGCCCGGGGGGCTCCAGGGG